TATGATGCTGCTTATTCTGCTCTATAGCTACACGATTAAAGACGTTTTGCTGGTGAATAACGAAAACCTTTTATCGAGATACCGATTAGACAAACACGTTTAGTAAATATTCTTTACTGAGACTCTGTTTTTGAGAAAATAACTACTTGCATCTGTAGATACTGAATCATGGTTGTAAGTTTAAGTTTTAGTTTAAGTATTCTGTGAGAGCGTGGTCTTTCCCCGGTCTAGCCGACCCATTCATGGTACACCATAATGTAACTGCAGTGGTTCTATCACATGTAATTATACCGCAGAAATATTAATAAAAGTACACAACAAGACAGAAAAAGTTACGTAATTCAAAACGATTGTAACATTATTATAAACGCCGTCCATATATCTCGGGAATTTATCAAGGAGTCACAACATGGCAGGATAATGGGCACTTACAGGGCATTACACTCCGTTAGCTATGTTGTTACAAGTCATAAGCGACTCACCGGATGGAAGTTAAATGAAGTCTACGGCGGAGCTTAATCCAGTATAATAACGGCTTCAGGATCTTGTTGGGGCCACCTTGATTTTGCAGTGCACCAGGCCTGTTTGCAAAAGCGCATACGGATGACTGTTTACATTACATTTATATTACGCCATTATACGAAATAAAACAGCCTCGTTATTTGGCAGGATGCGAGCTAGCTGCAACTCCATTATGAAAATTGCTGAAAGATACGGCTCATTTCTTCTTTAGCAGTATTACCGACTCTGTTTAGTTATTAAGATACTTGTACTTAAGAATTAGATTTAGTAAGTTTTATATTTACTAACAAATTTTATCGATCACTCGGTTATCTGAAATAAATTATTATTATTATATTTTCTACTCCCTTTTTTTTCCTCAAGATTTTCTAAGATCTTGGTTTTTAAGAAATGCCTAACACGGGCCTAAGCCAAGTGCGCATCCCTTTGGGAATCAAAATTTGAGGTGTCTTCTTGCAAAAATTTTAATAACTATTTTCAGGAAGATCTAATAGTTTAAGGGAGTGGGGCAAACATTTCGGGATCACACCAGTACTGGAGAGCACCAGCGGCACAATGTATACTTTGTTCATTTTCCAGATTCTAGTTACTTCTTCTTTTAGTTTTGTGTACTTAAGATTTTTTTTCAGTAATGGTTTTTGTAGATTATGGGTATTTGGGATTGCTATATCAATTAGGTATACTATTTTATTTCATTTGTCAATTAAAGATTATTATTATTATTATTATTGGGGTATTTATGAAGTAAAAGTCCACTGCTGAACATAGGCCGCTCCCATAAATTGTCACATAGGAGAGATTTTGCTATAATTGCCACTTGGCAAGCGTGGTGGCAACAGCAGTTTATTTTAATTTTTTTGTTGTTATTAGGAAGACGCTGCTGCTCATCTCCTGATTGGTTTTCTTCTCACACCTCTAACGACATCCACGGCATGTTATGGGGTAGTGGGTATTCTTACACCGATAATACATAGTAACGTCTACACGGTACACTTCCATATCATTTAACATTACATCGAACAAATTCGGATATATTTGCATGTTTGTTTTTGTTGCCAACTTCAAAAAAGGAAGAAGTTTACAATTTATTTTTCTAACTATATGATTTTGATGTTTCTTTTTATATTGTATTATATTTAGTACTATCTGAACCCGGCAGACGTTTCCTGCCAGTTAGTATCATAGGTTGTGTTCAGTAACGTTTCTTTTTATTTTAGCGCATACAATTTAATTTATTAATTGCCACGCTTGACAGAAAAAAAGAGGAAATAAAATCTTAAAAATAAAAACTTTTTAATTTTTTTTTAGTTTATGAATATAAGCCTTCTCCATTGAAAAATACATGTTTATACCAATTTCATATTAATCGATTAAATAGATTTTGAGTTAAACGATATCATATATACAAACATTCTCTTTTATAGGAAGTAGCCGCGGACCGCGAGCTCGAAATGTTGTGGGTTCGAATCCGCCATTCGACTACTGTCGTGAACCACTTCCAACAAAAGCATTTTAAGCTTACCAGAAGTGGTCAAAGGCAATTGAGTAATGTTTAATAGCATTAATAGTATTTAAAAAAATATGTATATATAGTAGAACAAATTTAATAAAAAAAAGTCATGATAGGAGATGCCTATGCTGACCCCTGGACTTATGATATCATGATGATGAACACTGTATCCGCTTTAGTGAGTTGTGCTTGATTAAAATTTCGCAGTCCCTACGTAAGGAAACAAAGTTCCATTCCCGGTGACACCAAAGAAAATTTTGATAACAACTATAAGTACTGTTTTACCACGTATCACGTGCGGTAGAAGAAAATATTTTTTTTATAGGATAGGGTGACAAACTAGCACACAGTCCACCTGATGGTAAGTGGTTGCTGTGGCCCATAGACATCAACATTTATCCTCGTTTGCGAATCAAAATGCAGATGCGTTGTCACCCGTGAGGACTAAGATAGAATGCCTCTTTTCCAGTAAAAAGCCAAGCAAAACACAGCAGCATGAAGCCGCTATTTGACGCTGAACATAGGCCACTGCCATATTTGCCATGGTTGCCAAGCGGGTTGGCAATCGTAGTTTCTTATTATTTTGTGTTGGCATCTGGAAAATGCTGCTTCCCATCTTCTGTATCCGTTTCTTACTAACGCCTATTATGACGCCCACGATGATACGGGTTAATGGATATTCTTACGCTGCCCCTACACATCAATGGGTTTATATAGAATAGAATAGAATAGCATCATTTTATTCAGTATAGATTTACAATACATAATACTTATTCAGTCATTTTTTACTTTTACCACTGGTTCGCAAAAAAACCTCTATCCTGGGAAGAACCACCATGAAACTCAGCGGGGCATTTTTTTAATAAGCACAATTTACAATATAATATTTTATACAGTTGTTATGAAAACATTTAAAAACAGCATGGTAGCGATCACCTCATTCGCAGGAGTTATTATTAGTCATGTACTGTTTATTAGTATAATAACCCTTACTAGACAATTTTTGCTTAATACATAATTTAAACCTTTTGATAGAAAAGGACTGCATATTTTCTGGGACTTCGTTGTAAAAGCGTATACTCGTACATTGCCCCATGACGGAGCTACTAACTCTTTGGAGTCGAGTAACTGGTATAACTAACTTCAATATAGTTTTGAAATATTTTGCAATAAAATCTGATAGTATTCTATGAAATGAAAATTCTTTTTTACAGACCTTTACATTTTGTTTAAGTAATGACTCGGTAACAGCAGGGGAGAAATGGAGTGAATTTGTAGTCAAGATCGGAATGTCGGTGAAATATTGTTCAAAAGCCGTTGCAATGTCTTGATTTGATTTTGTCAAATTATTGTTAAAATTTAATTTTGAGTTGTGTAGTTTCATCTTGCCAGTTTCACTATTGATTATACTCCAAGTCATTTTAATTTTATTAGACGCATTCTTAATTTTGTTTCTTAAATATAAAGACTTGGATGCACAACACACTCTTTTAAATATTTTGGAATATTTTTTTACATATTTTCTAAATGAAACACTATGATTATACAATTTTTCATTGTAAAGGTCATATAACTTTTGTCTACTCCTATGGATTCCTACTGTCGCCCACTCATTAAACGATTTGCGACTGTTTAAAGAGATTGTTTTAGAAGTATAGGCTATGTTTGTTTCGCTTCAGTGTATACTTTGCACCAAGGAGGTAGGATGATCTTATACTCACGATAATACGAAACAAATGTACAGTTGTCTAATGTTCTCTATTGTTACTAGCGATCGAGGCCTAGTTGTACTCGTAGGTATGAAATAAGTTTATCTTTTTTTTTTATACTGAAATAAAATTATTACAACTCTCAACTTATTGCCCCGATTTTTGTTACTGATAAAATTAATAATATCAGGCGTTAGCTTTGCGGAAATTTATTTTATTAAAGATGTTCAAATTAATTACATAAAATCCGCGTAATAAAAAAAATATAACATAATTTATATGAAAGTATTCTAATTGGATTAGAAGACTGGTCTAGAGATTAAAGTAGAAACTCTAAGGTCAAGAGTAACGAGAATCATCCAAAGTTTATTTTTCATTTCTCAAGCTACTTTATGATTTGTTTTTGAAAAAATTGTTTATAAATAAAAAAAAACATGCATGGAACACTCGGTTGGAACAAAGTTTCTTTCGTAGTATATTATTATTGATAAACGCATTATATTGTGAATTAAAAAATACAAATTAATGAATTAGTAGTGTCTATTAAAATGAAGCATCATTTAAAATAATATGTCTTTCATGGCAAGATAAGAAAAAGTGAGAGGGAGATGGACATTATCCCATCTCGTATCCTTATAGCCATCAAAGCCGTCTACACTACGTCAGAAGGGGTCGTGACGGAAAAATCTTACACTTTTTCTTGCCTAGCTCCCATCCGCCAAACCCGTACCATCCGATAAAGAACTTCGTTCCAATAATATTCCCCTTCTTCATTATCGGCTCCTAACTGTCTACTGCTGGACAAGGACTTCTCCTGGTGTAGGGAGCACTTGGCGTAATCGACACGCTTCGCAGGCGGATCGTCGCTCCAGTACCAGATGTCTTGCATTTTTGGCACTGTTCCCCGTTTATGGTCTGGATATTACTGTTGATATGTAATTTATCAATTTTTAAACAACATCTTCGTTTCTTTATGAAACTCTCAATTCAGATCAGGTCTTTGAAAGAGTGCGTTTAAAAGATCCGCCAAATTCATACCGTCCGATAAGGAACTTCGTTCCAATAAATAACTTTGTTACCTATTTTTGTCGCCAAATAGCAGTCCTTGCGCTACTGTATCCCGGTCTGAAGTGTATAGAGTACCAGTATAATTAGAGCCTGTGATGCATTCCATCTCATTCCTCTCAGGTGACAATGCATCAGATGGACTGTAATTTCGTTTGTCACTTCAGTTTAAAAAAATAATATTTTTGTTACAGGCTTACACTCCGACGGGGTTCGAAAAATATGGATACACATGTACGGTAGCTGATTACAGGGTCAGTTTTTCTGTTTGGGACACTTCAGGTAATATTTAACAAATTTCATCTGTGTTCTTATAATTTTACCATTTTTTTTTGTTACGTGTATCGAAGAGCATGACTACAACAGTTAATTCAAGGTTAAAAAGTTAAAGTTACAGTCTTTATACGTCCCACTGCTGGGCACAGGCCTCCCCTCATTTCTGAGGGGTTTTAGGGCAAGGAAATGTTCGCCGCGCTGCCCCAATGCGTGTTGGCGAACTTCACATGACTGCGAAAAGTTTTTTCTTTTTTCTCAGACATATAGGTTTCCTCACGATGTTTTCCTTCACCACCGAGCACGTGGTAAATCAGCACTTGAAGTTGCAATTAACAATTTTTATCTACTACTAACGATGTGCCCCGGCTTCGCGCGAGTGATTTCTGTATCTCGAGAACAGCGCCGCCATCCATTACCCACTCAAACACAAACAAAAAATATTTTATTATATACAATATTAAAAACTATAATAAAAAAAAAAACTAAAACTAGTAACTTAATTATTTATAAATGTCATTAAACGATTTCTATTCATTGATTTGGATAAGCTTTGTCATGACATGGACAACAAACAGTGATAAATATCGTGAAATTACACCATTTCACGAAATAATGATTAAATGAGAATTTTGCAATAGCTGCAGGCAGACCAGGATTAATCAGTTTGCATACAGATATATTATCGAACCTACGAAAATTGATATGTTTTTTAGTTCAAAATATCAATTTTCATACGTTTGATAGATGTCACTATTCTCTATTATTTTTTAAATTTTAATTATTACACTTTTAAAATTATATAACGATTAAATTATACGTTAGGATTTTTAAATAACTTTATAAATATAATTAGTTATACACATAAATGTAAGTTATTTATATTATTTAATGTTTTAGTTACTAAAAGCAAAATATAGGCTTTTTTATAGGATAAGGCTGACAAACGAGCACACAGTCCACCTGATGGTAAGTGGTTGCTGCGGCCCATAGACATCTACATCTATTCTCTATTACAAATCAAAATGTAGATGCGTTGTCACCCGTGAGGACTAAGATGGAATGCCTCATTTCCAGTAAAAAGGGCCTCCGGCCACCTGCACTCACCAAGCGAAACGCGGAGGTAAACCTCTACTTCACGCTGGTTTTCTGTGAGGTCGTGGTACCACCCCGGTTCGAGCCGGCCCATCCGTGCGACAGCAAAAGCTGCCGCGTGGCTCTACCACTGTTGAAAATTTGATAATAGATGGCACTGTTTTAATAAATAAAACGTATATCGTTGCGGAGTTTCAATTTGTTACAAAAAGGTTAAAACTAATTTTAAACTTTACAAATATAATATTTATTTCAAAAAACACCTGTCATCAAAAAACAAAAAACGCCTATCAACTAACATAATCATATATAATAGAAAATTAACATCTAAAGGAAGATAAAGGAAGAAAAGTTTTTTAAGTTCCGTAATCTGATAAAAAATAGCCTATTTGTTGCCCCCCACGTTACTAACTACCTATATATAAAATTTAATGGAAGTCGTTCCAGTAGTTTTTGCGTGAATCGGTAATACACAGACAACCAGACAAAAAATATAAAGTCAGTAATTTGGCTTCAATACCCTTTATCCCCATGACTTGATTTTCAAGAGTATATTACAATTACAGACACGACTTTTCTACAGATTTATTAACTGTAGATTTTTTTTAGATATTAAGACCAGCGACATATTGGTAAACCAGTGTGTGCATATTATAAATGGTTAGTTACTCTAAGAACTCTTGAATATTCGAAATTTTTTGTCTTTTTTTTGTTTAGATGTATTATTTTGATCTAACCCACACCGTTTATTATTTTTGAAAGATTTCATACTAGTACGCAATACCTTGAACTTTTGTGTCAATAATTATACGATTTTACTGTAGTTTGCAACCGTATTGTGGCGGTGTAAGATATCCTCCACTACACTCAGCAAAAATCTCTCTTATAACAACTAAAATAATTAAAAACTGCATTTCACAACCTACCAAGCGTGAAAACTATGTCAAAATCCCCCTGGGACGCCTATGTAAAGCACTAGACACTGATGCTGTAATGAATGAGTGGATAATAAGTCATTTAAGAGGAATTAGGCGATGTTACTGCAGTTTGCAAGCAACAAAATGTCAACACATAACTCCGTATTCCGCAATATGTAGTGTAAATATAAATGCGCTCGCTGTACCTCACAGAGATGTAAATATATGTCCACCGCAGCAATTCATCGGTTCCCAATTCCAGTTTAAACTAACAGCTCAATAATTTCAAGTGACCCATTCAAAGCCTATTTATTGATGTGGTCTTTTAAATAAATGCCGCATCAATCCCAATTTACACATCACTAATATTTAGTTCCAATATTAAACGGAAATCATCAATCGAAGCATTCATGTTCGATATTTGTTTTCAATATTGGTTTTAAATACTATATCAAAATTGAGATAATGATTTTACCATTTTAAATATCAGTTATGGAAATATTATAGTATTTTGAAGTCTGATATTGTATTGGACTATTATAGTATTTTGAAGTATTTTGAAAAAACTTTTCTTCTTCATCTTCTTCATGAAATCTTTAAGTTGCAGTGAAGGGCCGCGGGTTCGAATCCCGCACGGAACAAATATAATTTTTTATGGCCTGCAAATTATTGTTCCGGGTCCGAGTGTTTGTCCACGTGAAATTTATATATATATAAACTGCCCCCACGATACAGGAGAAAACCCTAGTGTAGAATTAACGTATTTTTAAAAAGAAGAAACAAAGGATTGACGATTACAGCACCAGACGAAAATGAAAAACAAAGAAAAAGAAACCTTATTCATTGCTACAAAAATATACACGTACATACTCGTAAAATATGTAAAAAAAAGTGTTCCATTGCAACAACAAAGAGGAATTTCATATTTCTAATACCGCCACTACACAATCAAACTTCATCATCATCATCATTACAGCCCTTCACAAGTCCACTGCTGAACATAGGCCTCCCCCAAGGAATGCCACAAAGCACGGCCATGAGCCACCTGCATCCATCGACTTCCTGCATATCTTACAAGGTCGTCACTCCATCTAGTGGGGGGACGCCCAACACTTTGCCTGCCTCTCAGCTTACTTATCCGTTGGGCTATGTCGGTCACTCTGGTTCTACTGCGGATATCCTCATTTCTGAGTTTATCACGCAGAAAAACTCCGAGCATAGCCCTCTCCATAGCTCGCTGAGCGACCTTGAGCTTCCACATCCGGCCAGCAGTGAAGGACCACGTCTCAGTTTCGCATGTCATTGGCAACACGCACTGGTTGTACAGTCTTGTTTTCAAGTTTTAAGGTATACCTGACGAGAAGATGTGCCGTAATTTCCCGAACGCTGCTCAACCAAGTTGAATCCGTCGATTGACCTCTCGGTCGAAGTTGGACTTACCTAGTCGGACTATTTGTCCCAGGTAAACATACTCGTCAACAACTTCGAACTTAGTGCTCCCAAAAACTACCGGCATAGGTGTGACATGGACATTAAACATGATCTTTGTTTTGTCCATGTTCATCTTAAGACCTATCCGTTGGGTAAAACTATTGAGGTCATTGAGCATAAAGCTTAGGTCCTCCAGCGATTCTGGCATAAGGATTATATCGTCGGCAAATCGAAGGTGAGTGATGTACTTGCCATTGATGTTGATACCGTATCCTTTCCAGTCCAGAAGCTTGAAAACGTCTTCCAATGCAGCGGTGAAGAGTTTCGGGGATATGACGTCACCCTGTCTTACACCTCTCTGCAATTGGATAGGTTTCGTACTCTGGTTCTGTACTCGGATAGCCATCGTAGCCCTACTGTACAAGCACTTCAGCACTTCGATATACCGACAGTCCACTTGGCACCGCTGAAGGGACTGCAGCACCGCCCAAATTTCGACGGAATCAAAGGCTTTCTCATAGTCCACATACGCCAGACATAGTGGCAAATTGTACTCCTCTGACTTTTGTACAATTTGCCGAAGGGTATGTATGTGGTATATGGTGCTAATGCCTTTTCGGAAACCGGCTTGTTCGGGAGGCTGGAAGTCGTCAAGTCCTCGCGCGAGACGATTCGTAATGACTCTCGAAAACAACACATAGACGCGGCTGAGAAGGGAAATCGGTCTGTAGTTTTTCAAGAGAGCGTTGTCGCCTTTCTTGAAGAACAAGACCACCGCACTTCTGCTCCACGCCTCCGGTGATGCCACCATGGAGGACGGAATTGAAGAGCTTCTGAAGGACTTCAAGTACCGGTTTTCCACCCGCTTTCAGAAGCTCCGCTGTAATTCCATCCTCGCCTGGGGCCTTGCCGTTTTTAAGGTGCTGGAGAGCCATTCTACTCTCGCTCAGACTGATGTCCGGGATATCATCGGAATAATGTCGGATAAGACTCGCTCTTGGATCGTTACTCATACTCGCGTGTGGCTCCAACGATGACGTGTACAGCTGCCCATAGAACCTCTCAATCTCACTCAAAATCTCAGGTGCCCCGAAAACGATGCTGCCACACTCTGTCTTCAGCTTTGACAGTTGGCTCTTTCTGGCAGACAGATCTCTCGCAAAGACTTTGGAGCCTTGGTTCCGCTCGATCCCTTCTTCAATACGAGCTGTATTGAAGTTGCGTAAGTCTCGCCGCATGCATTTGGAGATCTGTCTGTTCAGTTGCCTGTATGCAGTCAAATCTGTTGAACAATGTAGCTTCATCTCCCGTCTAACATCCATGAGATTGTGAGTGTGATCGGAGAGTTTTTGTGTTCGTCTGCGGCAGGTATTGCAGAACTTAGCTCCGACCGCATGGACAGTTTCCACGAGCTTGTCATTCATATCGTCCACTTCATTGCAGTCTTCTCGGTACTGAAAACGGTTTTGTAACTCGAGCTGAAAGGTTTCGGGACTTTGGATTAGAGCACGAAGGGGACGGAGCGTTGACTTCATTAGACGAAACCTCTCCAACTTAACGTTTAGGTTCAGTGTGCCTCTAACCATTCGGTGATCGCTACCGGTTTTCACCCTCGCGATCACTGAGACATCACTGAACAGTTGTCGTCTGGTCGTCATAATGAAGTCAATCTCATTTTTTGTCGAACCGTCGGGGCTCGACCAGGTCCACTTTCTGTGGGGCCGCTTCTGGAAGAAAGAGTTCATCATAAAGAGTCCCTCTTTCTCCATGAAGTCGGCCAGCTGCTGGCCCCTTGGGTTCCGTTGCTCTATTCAAAATTTCCCTACTTTCAGCTCACCTTTCTCTCTTCTGCCTAGTTTTGCATTGAAGTCTCCCATTAACACCGTATATTGGGTTTTGGAGGAATGCATGGCACTAGAGATATCCTCATACATTTCCTCCACCTCCTCACCGGGGTGTGCCGAGGTTGGTGCGTAAACCTGTATGACCTTCAGCGAATACCGTTTGGTGGTTCTGAGTATAAGGTACGCAACCCTCGTCGGCACACTCTCAATCTTTACAACGTTGTTAACGAGAGACTTGTGGACGATAAATCCGACACCTCCTTGGGACAGATGGTCGCCCTCCTGGTAATAGAACAAGTTGCCGGATTCGAGGATTACCGTGTCCTCCCCCTCTCTTCGGACTTCGGATAATCCTATAATATGCCAGCGTAACTTGTCTATCTCTTCTTCCAGCTCCACAATCTTCTCGTCAGTTCTCAGGGTGCGTGCGTTGTATGTTGCCAGGTCGAGTCGTCGTAGGTGGCAACCGAACCTCCACCGGAGATTCTTAGCACCCCCTGCCCCGCCGTTACCATGGTCGCCACCGTAGCCAGAAATTGCGGGCCCGTTTGGGACTAGGGGTTGTCTCTTAGTAACTTTATCCATTTTGAGGGTATTTGCCATAGCTGCCACGTTTGGCGAACGGGTTGGCAACCGCAGTTTTTTTATTGTATTTTTGCTGTTATCAGTTCAGTTCTTAGCCGCCACTACACGCCATCAAACACAATCAAACTTATTGAGCGTCAAATTATTTGTCCAGAAAATATACAAAATTTAACTTCCGCAAAGTTCACAAACTTTATTAAACAACGTTTGTATAAAAATGGCTATTATAATATTAAGGAATTTATGGATGATTATAATCCCCTGGATAGAGATCGCTACCAAGCTAATTAGTTTTGTGTTGTTAATTATGTAACATAATACGACAATAAACTGTTCGTTTTACAAAAAAAAAAAAAACTGAGTTTCTTGCTAGTTCTTCATGACATAGGTATTTTCTGAACCAGTGGTAAATTAAACTTAAAAGTGACTTTCAATAAGTGTTACTTATAATTTATCTCTAAATATAAAAATCAATCGCTGTCTGTTAATCTCGCTAAAACTCAAAAACTGCTCGACCGATTTTGATCAAATGTTTTGTGTGTGTTTGAATGGGTCCCTAAATGTTACATTTGATCCGGTTAGTGGCGCTGATGTCGAGATCCAAAAATCGGATCGGATCGCTAGCATTAAATAAAACAGTTTCTATTTCTATTTATATCACTGCGAGTCTCAACATAGAATATTTTAAAATTTAAAATTTTGTAAATATAAATTATTAAGAATAACTCAAAAACTATTGGTCAGACCTTAATTAATTCTATGACACCACAAGTGAAGCACCAGCTTTAAAATAAAAAAAGAATCATCAAAATCGGTTCAACCAATAAAAAGTTATGAGGTAACACACAAAAAAAATACATACAGTCGAATTGAGTACCGTGTCCTTTTTGAAGTCGGTAGATTAATCAGATATTTATCATTTGTCATTTACTACTTTTAGATAAGAATCAATTAATGCAATATATATATGATCCTTCAACGTTAATCAACCAATCGTCATTTGTTATTTTATTACAACAAAATCTGTTAGCAACGCAAGCTACGAGGTAAGCACAATATTTAGGTTGTTGACGTCAAATAACCTTGTGGAATATAATTCCCACACCCACACTGCATCTTGCAATTTAATTAGGTAGCCTTACACTGTTGCGTAGTATATAATATAGTTTATTACGAAATAAATTGAATTCATATCCTTTACCGTGACAGTCTATTAAAGTCCACTGCTGAACATAGGTCTCCTCCATAGATTGCCTCATATCGCAATGGACGGGTTGGCAATCGCAGTTTATTTTTTATTTTTGGTCGTTATTAGGAAGACGCTGCTGCCCATCTCCTGATTTGTTCCCTCTGTCCCCTCTTACACACCCACGAGATGATACGGAGTGGTGGTTATTCTTACAACGCCACTACACATTATTATAAAAATTAAATTCATATAATATAACTAAAACCAGTAATTGATTTAAAGTTATAGCCTATTAACGTCCCACTCCTATGCACGGACCTCCTCTCATTTCTGAGAGGGTTTTAAGGCGAGGAAATGTCCACCGCGCTGCCCCAATACATGTCAAAGAATTTGTGCCGTGCTGTCGTCGCGCCAAAAGCGAAACACATCGAAGCCTAAATCGCGCTAACAAAGTTCCGAAATTATAGCAGTATATATAGAATAGCTCCGAACTACAACAATTACAACTCGGAGCGTTGGCCGCTCGCCGGGCAAAACACCTTGTCCGGCGGGAGATTTCCCCTTTTCCTTTCACCCGCCACAAATTATATACCAAATGTGTTACTTTCCTAGAATTTTGAAAAAGACGATTAATCGGATCTGGGTTTGTGATTGTGTAGGCAATGTGCTAGCTATCTATCACTTTTTTCCCAATTTACCGTCTATATTTTTATTATATATTTTTGGCTAAACGTCTTCCTAGTAGGTCACAGCTCTTTGGACTCTAAACCCTCGGGAATTACAGGCGTGAAACTATATGTACATATGTATATGGTTATACAAAAAGATAAAGCCGGTGATAAAGCATTGTACGTGGTAGAGTCATGCTGCAGCTATATTAGTAGTATAGTTGTAGCACGAATTGGTCGGCTCGACCGGGGAAGGACCAAGCTCTCACAGAATCCCAGCGTAAAATGGTAGCTTCATACTGCTGTGTTTCGTATGGTGAGTGTAGAGAACCGGAGACCCTTTTTACTGGAAAAGAGGCATTCCATCTTAGTCCTCACATGTGACGACGTATCTGCATTTTGATTCTTTATTGAGGATAAAAATGTAGATGTCTTTGGGTCACAGCGACCACTTACCTTACTTTTAAGGCAAGGAATTGTCCACTGCGTTGCGAGTCAGCGAAATCAAATATCTACGAACAGCAATTGCTTTAATTTGTGATTATATTTGTCTACAGGTACAACAGCATATGACACTGTAAGACCACTCGCCTATCAAGACGCTAAGATTTTCATGTTGTGTTTCAATATAGCAGAGCCTGAGTCCTTACACAATGCTTCAGCAAAGGTACTAGTTAATCTATACATATAATAAAACTGTAAATAGCAGATGTCTGTACATTTTATATTTTTGTAATAAAAGTGATTGAGGGGTACTAAAAATAAGTAATTAAATACATTTCTACCATTTTTAGAATTTTCTGTCTGTCTGTCTGTCTGTCTGTCTGTCTGTTTGTTTGTTAACGTATCACGTATAAAGTACTAATTTATATCATAGGAATTGTTAAGGAAATTATAAAGTGTATCTTCGGGTTACATTTAGTCTTTATTTCATTAAAATCAGTTCATTCCATCAAAAGTTATGATAAATATTCTGAAGTATGGGTAGGGAAGTATAGGTACGAATTTGCTCAACGGTGGCTTTGTTTCAGTCATCAAGTGCATTTTAAACTAATATCATATCATAAATCATAGTTAAATTATGTAAAATAATGATATAATTATGTATATCTAAAACGCAGTAAACAAAAGTATTAAAGAACGTATTAAATATATTATACAAAAATATATTAACCTTATTAACTAAATCTGAAGCACAATAGTTAACCCATTTCTTCGATAGATGGTGGTGTTGTGAAAATGTATTGCAATTGCAAATGTGGTTTTTTCCGGTAGATGAGTTTTCATATTTACTGCTAATCTTTGTTATATTACTCCCTGCCCTACTGCGTGTTGACAAACTCAATTTATTCTTTACCGCCGAGTACTCTATGTGGTAAATCAAATTTTAAAACAGCTATTAACAATTGCGTTGGTTTTGGCGAGAGTCAAACTTTATTTTTTGCTTACTGTGCAGGCACTGATTTATAAGTTCTCTTGCGTTTTATATAATGTATCAATCGCGTCAATTAATCTCTTTTATTTTTAGAATTGATGTTAGCAGCGCCATCTCTCTTTAAATATATACATATAATAAAAATGATGATAACATGTTGTGTCTCTTTCTGTACATTGTATATATATTTTGGTGGCTAAAATCATTATGGGGAACTGAAAATAATTAAATAAGAACATTTTATAATTTTTAGAATTGTCTGTCTGTCTATTTGTCTGTTATTATATGAACGCATCACGTCTAAAGTAAACATCTTTTATTTTCAAAGAAATCGTTAAGAAAATCATAAAGCGTATCTTCGAGTTACATTTAATCTTTGTTTTATAAAAATTGGTTAATTCTATCGAAAGTAATGATTATTATTTTGAAATGTAGGTTCGAATTTGTTCAATGGCGCCATAAAATCTCAGAAATAGTAATAAAAAGATTTGTGTGTAAAAAAACGTTCCATAATAATTAATATACTTAAAACACAAAAAGAGATTTAAAAAGGATGTTTTCTCACACAAAGGACGTAATAGATGGAGTTGTACAAATTACAAACTTTTCTGAATTGATGTGTTGAGATTTTTCGCCGATGAATCGTATTGAGACTTACTGAAGAAATTTGTATCCATCGAAGCCATACAACGGAACCCGAAAAAAAAAATTTGCAACGAAATGTCGTGATATTGTATTTATAATATACGCAAAATCAGTACTGCCATTTTAGCGCTTTGGGAACTAGATTTAGCGCCTTTTTGGAATGTATAGCGCGCATTTCGAAATTTTAGCATCTAGCTTAATCCAGCGCTTTTTGGTGTATTTAGCACACATTTCAATATTTTAGCGACTAGCGGGTTATTAACTCTTTTATACTGCAGCACTGTTAGTCCACATTACCGATAATAATAATAATGACCTTTATTATTTTTCCCACAAATAGTACATTGCAGTTTATCTTTTTCAAACATATTTTTTCCACAAAACAAAGAGCATGGGAGACGAGTCCAAACTAGGATACCCTGTGCTATGGATCTCCTGGCTTCCCCTTTAGGATGATCAACTTGATTTTTTTACCGACGACTATAAGCGGGGAAATCCCCTTTATTAAATACTAATTACTAATTCATGGTTTTGGCAAACTGGTTAGCAACCGCAATCAGATGCTGACATCTGAAACTAAGTTGCGAAATACATTGCACTTTAAAACAATTAATGACATTTTTATTGTTCGTACAGTACTAACTACTGTTGACAGCAATTGCCATAATTATAAGTCGATGTCCTGCGAAGTATTGATACATCAAAAAATATTGCCAGAAAAAAAAAACTTAATGTTGTTTTATTTATTATGGTTATATAAAAAAAAACACAAACTTTGTTTGTAGTTAATTTAGCGCGAAATCTAGGGCTTTTTGAAAGCGCTGTTTTCATGAAATCTAGCGCTTTTTGTGTTGTCCTAGAGCTGAATGAGTTTTTTTTTATCTGGCAGCACTGCCCAAAAACCCTCTATTCAGAAGTAACTTTACTCTCAGTTTTAAGCGCGTTCAGTTCCCAGTTACAGTGAGCGTGTGTTATGCGATGACCGTAAATAAAGCGCAAGGTCAAACTTTACGCGTTGTAGGAGTGTACCTCAGTACTGACTGTTTTGCACATGGCCAACTATATGTTGCTTTTTCCCGCGTTAGTAGCCCCCGAAACCTTTTTGTGTACACCCCGGCTAAGCCTACTTCTAACGTCGTTTACACAGAAGCTCTATCATAAACGACTTAGAACTTTGATGATAATGATTTATTTAGTTACCACTTATTGATACAGTAATGAAATAAATCGTTTAATATTCTCTTACCTAAACGACAAATTCTTTATGTAAAACCTGTATACGCGAGCTACGCCGCGGGCACAGCTAGTATTATAATAATCTTAATCAATTACAATTTTGCGTTTTAAAATTACAAGCATTCAAATGAACATGATTTATACATTCATAAATTGCTTACAAGTAACTATATCTAATTTTGTGATAGATACAGCAGTTTATTTATTCGAATATCGTAGCAGAGTTCCTTTTATCGGCGCATTAAAGTCCACTGCTGAAAATCGGCCTCTCTCGTTGTAGGGAGCTGCTATTTGACGCTGGTATTCTGTGAGAGCGTAGTCCTTCCCCGGTCGAGCCGACCCATTCGTGGTACAACTATACTACTAATATAGCTGCAGCATGACACTACCAAAAAAAAATCTGGCCTTATTAAGCAAGGGGTAATGAGAATAATTAAGTTTTTAATATCATATTTATATTCCAGTGGTACCGAGAGGTGCGTACACACGGTGGTGCAGTACCAGTGCTGTTATGCGGTTGCAAAGCTGACCTAAGGCATGACAAAGAGACCCTTACCATGCTGTCTAAGCTTAAAACACACCCAGTCACAAGTGAAGAGGTAAAAAAGGATCAATCTTTATATTCGTGACATTGATTTAAAAAAAATACTAGTTACTCTATTAAGACATTTCAAGAAAGCTTAAAACGCTAGTATTAGGGGTTCACGACAGTAGTCGAATGCTGGAATTGAACCCAAGATTCTTAAGTTTTGCAGCCCGATCATTAACCTAGGCTACTGTCACTTCGTTGATTATTACGGTTTACATAAACTGTGGTTTAACATTTTTTTATGTTACTAACTGTTAGGACACAGTAATAAGAAACTGTATGTTTTCACATAACAAATGGTTTAATCTTATTAATAATTTAATCAGTTATTAATAAACTTAGACCGGTGGTACATTTTGATATTCTACAAGTAATACTTAGATTGATTTTCATATGATAAGTTTGAAGTTGAGCCTGATTTACATAATGGAAATACAATTGGGACGTTTCCGTAGCGTAATGATGTATGTAACTTAGGGCCCCGGACTCCAATTCACGGAATAAGGACACACGGAATAAGAGACTGGTATGTGACCTGCAAACAATTGTTCCCAGTCTGGATTTTTGTAGATGTTACATGTGTAAAACGCCACCACTATGCAGCAATCAATCAATATAATTCAACTAATCAAGTCTAATTCTATCCTAACGTTGATTTACTACTTGCTTAATTTAGAAAGCAAAGATTTTTCCAAATCGTAAAGCTGTTTACTTATCTGTAGTTAAAATAAGAAAACTTAATAAGAGTAGAAAGTAATTATTGTATTTGAACCCGTATTTCAGGCTTTAGCAGTGGCGAGACAGCTGGGAGCGACAACATATGTAGAAACATCAGCACGTGCATCAAGTAAAGGAGTGAAGGATGCTTTTGAAGTTGCAGCATTAGCGGCCCTTGGCAAACTAAACAAGCAACAGTCAAAACAGCAGGTTTGTTTAGTTGTACGACATAAGACATAAATTTTCTACATGATAAACTGCACGAAAGACTTTAAAGTTTGCACAGAATAATAAAATTTAAAGATTTTTAAGGCAGATTTGACTCCACACCTTTTTAGTATTGCATTCTGTACCCTAATCATTCCTGTCTTACTCTTATGTATTAAACGTGTATACAGTTGAAATTAAGATAATTATATAGGTTACCGTTACAGCCTATAAAAAGTTCAGTGCTGAACACAGCCTTCTCTTGAGATTGCCTCATAGAGGGGATATTTAGCACAGTTACCACACTTGGCAGGACCTTTTTTATTTTTTAAAATTGGTTAAGAAGACGTTTCTGCCTATCTCTTGTTTTGTTGACACCCACGCCACAATATGGGGTAGTGGATATTCATAAACCACTACGCGCCACTACGCCGTCAATTAATTATACATATTATTGTCACATACGAGTGTGGCAAAAAGAAAATGAACTAACTTAAGCCCCAATACGTATATACGAAAATACATACATATACAATACGAAAATTTGCCGTTTTAAATAAATATGTATACTAAATTACTATTATTAATTTAATTTTGGATTTTTATCGTATATATAAATGTCGATATCAAGCTTTAAATTCAATGTTAGCTTTAATTATTAAAGTGAAAGTTATTATTGTATTTAATATTTAAAACAAATATACGTTACATATTCCTATTTCTTAAAATTAATGTACACCAGTACAACGTGTATAGTAATCAGTTAAAAGATACAGCCTATAATATACGTCCCACTGCCGGGCACAGGCCTCCTCTCACTTCTGAGAGGGTTTTAGGGCAAGGAAATGTCGGCCGCGCAGCCCCAATGCGTGTTGGCGAACTTTACATGTCTTCGAATATTTTTTTATTTCTTAGATATGCTGGTTTCTTTGCGATGTTTTCCTTTACCGCCGAGCACGTCGTAAATCAGCACTTAAAATTGCAATTAACAACTTCATGGGTGCCGGCGGGGATCGAACCAGAGTTGCTCGCGTACTGTGAAACTTACAGCGAGCGCTAACGATCTGAGCTAATACGGCTCCAATACGTATAATTTTAATAATTCCATGAAAAGTAATTTTACTTTTATTATTACTGGTAGCAATTTAAACGTGTATTAAAGACTGGTGTGTACATAAAAGTAATTTTATAAATATATAATAATCTTTTTTTTTTTGACAGAAACAAGTGGGACGAAGCAAAAGCAAACGCGACCTGAAGGCCGAGCTTAAAGGTCGTGCGAAGAGTTGCTGCGTCATGTGATCCGTGGCCGGCCACCCTTCTAGGTGGCCGCACGACTGTTAGGCGACCACCGCCCTTTCAGTATACTCTTCACAAATATGACATGGAAATTCTTTCCGAAACTGTCGAGAATTGATAACATGTTGGTCTTCTTGTTGCATTTTGCGCAACTCCCTAGTAAAAGAAGTTGACCAAAAATAGTTTTTCGAGTAAAAACAGAAAATTCAAGTTGGTTGGATGATATGTAACTGACAAAATTAGAAGCCCTTGTACATTTTAGTGTTATTGAAAGTGGAACAAAGTTCGTTTTAAAATTTTTGTTGATGGACTATCTTGGAAGGTATCATTGAAAAAGGAAGGTGCAATGTTTTTAATAACCCTCAGGGTTACGAGCGTGAGAAGCCTGTGATAATGTAAAATATAGAAAATTCGAATAACGGGAGTGGAGAGATAGTTTGAAATTTAGAGAGGCCGTAGACGCTCATTTTACATCTCCAGCAAACCATAGATTATAAGATGGTATTTACAGTGTATACTTAAAGTTGTAAAGACAATTTATATTGTGTAGTAAAATATGTGTTTTCATATACAATAAGTAAAGATAATTAATGTTTTTTCTATTATTATCGCATTGCGAAAATATGTATTGAAAATTTTGGAATAATAAATAGACTTATTTATTTTAGTAGGACCAACTTCTTTTTAATACGAATGTTCTAACATCAGACGGTTAAGATTGTTTTACTTCAAAAGGCATTGATTACGTTTATTCGTGATAGTAATACGTAATGTATTTTAAAATTAAATGCACAATGATGGACAATACTATTTAATTACGGAGGTCCACTCGCGGATTAGTTGTACGTCCATGTTTGCCACCTTAGATGTAGATTTTTGTATGTTACTTAACAATTGATGTTGCTTGCAATATAAGTACTAGAACAGTGGTTCAATTATAAATTGTGCAAATTAAATCGTCTTTTTGACAGTCATTCTTTTGGTGATTGTCGCCATTGTGGACATTAGTTTAATTTTGCTACCCAACCATCTTCATTGATTATTTCTAATTATTTGTAAAACCTTTTGTTGTATTTCAGAAGTTATAATAATAAAACTAGTTTTTACCATTCAAGTTACTGTTGATTTAACTTCAGTAAAAATGTCCAACTCATATACTTGAAGTCTTATTAACTTATAACTTCATATAGGTAATACAAACCGAAATACATTAATCAAAGCAAAGCGAGGGTTAAAATTGTAAAAAAAATACAAAAAAAAACATAGAAATCATTTTTTATCTGTAAATAATGCAGAAAATTTAAAATAAAGCCGATATTACATTTAAAATATAATGTCGTGAAAACACCGTTACGCTATTTTATCATGAAAATAATCGCAAGAATATTTTCGCAAATATAAACTTCTCTTATTGAGCCACTATCAAGATATTTATGTAATTTCTTTTAAGCAAATAGGCAGGGACACGGTACCGAATCAAAAGTATCGATACTGTACTTATGAGTAGTATCGGATAAAAAAGTATTGTAATCGTAAAAGTATCGAAACAAAAGTATCGTAAACATATATATACTTTAAGGTATCAATACATTCTCCTACATAAACATTTCCCACAATTACAGTACAAATTCTACTTATAACAAAATTATACACTGCAAATTATAATTATTATTTTGTGTGATTGCACAGAGGCAGAACTACTTAACTTAAATCATACCTTCCATTCTTCCTCTGTACAATCACTCAAAAACAATAATTTGTTGAAATGTTTTGGCGACAACATTTTGCTCGTTTTCTACATGGTATATCCTACCTTTGAAAGCAAACGTTCTAATGGAACAGACGTTGCTGGGATTGTTAGATACTCCATAGCTAATTTTTAAGCTGAGAAAACAACTTTAATTTCTTCCCACTTCTCTAAGGTATTAAAAGACAGTGAAGCGACTGGTGTTTCCGAATAAAGAACCATTTCATACTTTACAGTTAATGAAGGGATATTATTATGTATTGTTTCGTGTGTGCTAAAGTAAGTGAAGGATTATCGAATCAATACTATTCGATACTAAATAAAAAGTACTAATACCAGAAAAATACCGAAAAAGTATCGAGTTAAAATCACAGGTATTGAAAGGAAAAGTACTCGATACCAAAAGTATCACTACTTTTGCCGTGTCCCTACACATAGGTAATCATTTGAATGACCGCTAAGACCATACTTAATGCAACCGATAGTTTTGCTGAAATCTAAAAAAAATAGCGTGGAAATAACTATTGATTGTCACACGTAGACGTTTTCCATTAATGTTTCAAAACGACATAAATACCGTCGCTGAGATAATCACTTCCGCGACGGCATAAATAAAAAAAAATAATAACGGATTTACATATTGCAAATTTCATACCTTCATGTATATGAATCTGTTTTGGTTGTTTATGTTCTCATGGATGTTTACCTAACAAATGTACAATGAATTTTATATAAATCAGGACAATCCATGTTTTACTAATTTTAAGGGCATAAAAAATTATAAAAAAATACGAAATATTTGCCATTTTGAATAAATATGTATACTAAATTACTGTTATTCATTTAATTTTGGATTTTTTTATCGTATTATAAGTCGATATCAAGCTTTAAATTCAATGTTAGCTTTAATTATTAAAGTAAAAGTTATTATTGTATTTAATATTTAAAACAAATATACGTTACATATTCTTAAAATTAATGTGAACCACAACAACGTGTATAGTAATCAGTTAAAAGTTACAGCCTATATACCTCCCACTGCTGGGCACACGCCTCTTTTCAGTTCTGAGAAGGTTTTAGGGCAAGGAAATGTAGGCCTCGCTGCTCCAATGCCTGTTGGCGGACTTCACATCATGTCTTCGAAATAGAAATTTTTCTTATTTATCAGACAGGTTTCCTCACGATGTTTTCCTTCACCGCCCAACACTTAAATATATATATTTTGCAATATAAAATTGTTAGTATGTCCAATTTAGACACTAAATCAATAAAAAAGTGATGTTTTGAACACTTAACATAATAAATTATGAAGTCAGTGTATTTTTTATTCATTTTTATATTAGAGATGTCTGAAAAGGTACCTAAAAGTAGTGCATCATCAGAAAGAAAAATAACCTCGATATACGTACGAGTCTAAGGCTCTCGTTTTATTCTAGATATTTTCAAGGCTATAATTTAACATAAAATAATTCTCAACTATAGGCCTATCGCGATCACCTCCTTGTTCTCCAAAATAATGGAATCAATTATTAACTGCCAGCTCATGCGTTACCTTGAGGATCACCAGCTGATTAGTGACCGCCAATACGGTTTTCGTCGGGGTCGATCAGCTGGTGATCTTCTGGTCTACCTGACCCATAGATGGGCAGAGGCAGTAGAGTCCAAGGGGGAGGCGTTGGCCGTTAATTTGGACATTGCGAAGGCCTTCGATCGGGTTAGGCACAAAGCGCTTCTTTCGAAGCTCCCTTCCTATGGGCTTCTCGAGAAATTGTGCGATTGGATCACCAGCTTCCTTGCAGATCAGAGCATCAAGGTCGTTGTAGACGGTGCATGCTCCGACTACAAGCTTATTAACGCTGGTGTTCCACAAGGCTGTGTGCTATCTGGTAACATTCATTGCTATGCGGATGACAGCACTGGTGATGCTCTATACACCGGCCGTGCCAATATTTCTCGGGAAACGTCGCCGAGTATCGGAACAAACTTGTGTCTGAAGTCGAGTCTTTGCTGAACAAAGTCTCGGATTGGGGGCGACTAAATCTAGTCCAGTTTAATCCTCAGAAGACACAAGTTTGCGCGTTTACCGCTAAAAAGAACCCCTTTATCGTATCTCCTCATTTTCAAGGCACTCCCCTTTCTGCCTCAGCTAGTATCGGAATCCTTGGCGTCGACATATCGAATAGTGTGCAGTTTCGTGGTCACTTGGAAGGGAAGGCCAAATTGGCCTCTAAAAAGCTTGGCGTGCTCAGCAGAGCGGGACAGTATTTCATGCCGGCACACCGCCTTCAACTTTACAAGGCGCAGGTTCGGCCTCACATGGAATACTGTTCCCATCTCTGGGCAGGGGCTTCCTAGTGCCAGCTCCTTCCACTTGACCGCATCCAGCGCAGAGCGGCTCGAATTGTCGACGACCGAGGCCTTTCCGATCGGCTCGATTCATTGACACTGCGAAGAGATGTTGCATCCCTTTGCATTTTCTTTCGCATCTACCATGGGTAGTGCTCTGAGGAATTGTTCGGATTAATCCCAGCCGCCAAATTTCACGAACGCACATCGTGGCAGAACTCCCGATATCATGCACTCCATCTGGATGATTGGCGGTCCACCACTGTGCGATTTAGAAGATGTTTTCTTCCTCGCACGACTTCCTTGTGGAATCGATTACCATCAGCGATTTTTCCGGACCGATACGACTTAGGGACCTTCAAGAAAATAGCGTACTCCTTTTTAAAAGGCCGGCAACGCATCTGCGATTTCCTCCCTGGTGTTGCAGCTGTTCATGGGCGGCGGTAGTCACTTACCATCAGGTGAGCCGCATGCTCGTTTGCCCCCTCTCCTATAAAAAAATAATTGAATAAAATCATCTATAAACAAATGAAAGTACATGTTAATAAGTACTTTATTAGACAATGTGTTCTATAACTATTTAGCAAAGCGCGTATTGCATTGCGAACTTTTATTTACCTCTGGTTACATTGCACGTTGTAAAAGTGTGTACGCAGTTTTCAAATATTTTTTTTAAATGCGTAATGACTTGAAAGTTATTTTTTATTTTTATTATAAATATTAATGTCTGTACATATCATCGTATGTTAATTTTTTTATTTTGAGCTTCCATTAATCTGACTTAAGATAAAATTTCAAAATGAAGTGTTTTATTTTTAAATTATTTTCTAAATGTATACATATAAAATTCAAAACGTTCAAGGAACTAAAGAAGTCAGATTAGTTTCATTTTTAAATGTTTACAATAGGA